ATATATTCTATCGACTATCGACTGAATGTTGGTTGCGCTTATGCAATAAATAGTTGAAATTGGTTCATTTGAACCATCATCGGGCCATTATTCGCCCAACTGCCGAGCACAGGACCATTTGAATTATCAATTTTTGTAAGTTCATACATTTACACTGCATTTAGAACGATGTCTATTAGAAACACAAAGAGAAGACACATTTTAAAGCTTTTCATTTTAATTTAATATAAATAATCAAATCCGCCTGTTTTTATTAAAACGTGTAGGTATGATTAAAAAATAATTTCGGTACTAGTAGGCTGTCTGTCAAAATAAGAATAAAGAAGGCAATAACGGAATTAGTAATTAGTATTCATTCACAATTCGGACATTTTTGTCAAAATTTTACCTTCTTTCACAATCTATCGATAAAACTGTCGACAACAACTACATGACTTTAGTAAATAGAATAGGGTTAGAATTCGTTTAATTTAATCAGATTTTATCATTTATATTATCAACTAAAACTATCAACTTAATTTGTGTTACCTACCACCAATATAATAACATTATGGTATGCAATAATATATTGAGTATCGAGTATTGACTATTTAAAATTTTATGAAAACTGGCTACTCTACAAATGTCATTTTACTCCGTCTTCAAAACCGACAAACTACTTATATTTTGACAACCTCGCAGGACTATACTATATACTACATAAACAACAACTTTTGTTCCATGACTTTTAATAATTCATAAGATTTTATACTTTCGTGCAAAAATAAAAATATTTAAATAAATGGCTATAAATGGTGATAACTCTGTGCAGTAACAAAAGAAAGCGCTAGCGTAAATAAATACCAGTGTGATGCCCAACTCAGGTGCGGTGGTGGGTGTATTCGGAGAGGACGCATGCACATTTGAACTTACTAACTTACTACCAAATATAGATCTAAAAAGTGTCAGATAGCACGACAAAAATTTAAAAGTTTATTTTTGGTAAATTTATTGTTTCGTAAAAAGTAATGAAACAATAGTAGATTGTGCAACAAGTGCATATAACGCGTCATTTTACCCGAGACGAGTTTATACTTAAGTCGAGGATAAAATGGATTTTATTAACGAGTTATACCTACACTCTGCTTTTCACTTCGATTGCGAGGAAATTAAACAGCAATATTACAAATAAACGATTATTTAATTAAAATTGAATGTAAAATTACAACAATTAGACATATTTAATATGATGACTTTTTTATTTTATGCACTAGAGCATAAAATCCTATTTTATACAGCCTACACCAAGCATAAATACGAACTTTAAGTGCATAAGAAGTGAAAATGATTTTATTTATTGAGATTTTTTGTGAAATAAGTCCACTGGTTTTGTTATGATTATGAATACAAAGATCGAACACAGAAAACTTTTTCGTTGAATTATTCATAATTATAACAAAAGAATTTATTAACTCTTTATTTATTTAGGCGCTTTGATCATTATTGAACACGTAAGTCTCGTTAGAAAAACAATTATGAAAAAAAATTGTAATCCAGACACATAAATAAAAATACTACCTAATCAAACATATATATAAAATCTTCGCGGCACGATTGAATCCTTCCAACATTAAATGTACGGAAACCAACCTGTGCAAATAACCGTACCTACCCTAATAGGGTTGTTGTTGATGATGTTAATAATATAGTCCCGGGAGGTTGTTAGTATTTTACAAATTATGCCTTATCACACGCGCATAAAATTTTAATTTAAATAAAGCACGATTAAATCTTTGAAACGTTGGCAATAAATGGACTCGTGACAAGCACTATTGTTAAATTTTAATGGTATTAATATTTATTATCTATATATTATAACACCGCCGTGCAAAATAATTGATTGATTGATCTTGCGTCTTAGAAAAAAATCATCGAATACAAGACCGAAGAAAAACAAATGTGCTAACAAAACCATTTCTTCTTCAGCTACTACACCTTAATGATCTGGTTCCCTGAATTGTTCAACCGTTATGAAGAGTTCGAACATCGTTTCCCCAACACCTCTGCTTCGGTGTGCGACGTCTCAGGCATCGTGATAGGTGATGATGCCAACGAAAACCCATTCGACTGTGGGAAGACTATCGACCAGAGCGTCTACATCCATACGCTGATCGTCGGCCTTGCGTGTATACCTACGTCGTTGTGGTTGCCCCTTTGCGTGCACAAGCTTGGAGCCAAGTTCTTCTTGAGTGAGTTTCGTCAAATTTTCGTTTTCTGACATTTAAAACATGAGTTTAAGACAAAGTTTACTTTTTTCAGATCTTTTTTTAACTCTTTATTTATTTAGGGGCTTTGATCATTATTGAACACGTTAGACCTATTAGAAAAACGATACATCAAGAAAACACTTAATATAATCCAGACTTTTAAAAATAGCTTCATTTTAAGAAAGATTACAATAAATTAATATGTAGTTACGTGTGTGTGTGTATGTGTGTAAGAAAGGTCACTTGACGTGATCTGCGGTTTCCGGCATAGTACCTGCTTAATTATGTCGCTTTTCCGGACACTGACATAATATTACAAAAAATATATAACACTAATGGCAAACTATCGTAAAGTATATTATTGCAACTAGTTGTTGTTTTATAAATCATTTCCGTTAAAGGCAAAGATTTATAACACATTACAGCCAAGTCATGATGCCAACAACGTTAGTGTCATTAATATTGGCAAGATGACGCAAGTATCGTCATTCGAAGTTCTGCCCTGGAAACTAGTAAACGATACAATTTATGATCTTTGTTGTGTCTCATGGGTGACTTGAGATTTGAAACTGAAAAATCCTTGTTTCTATACGGTTATACACACAGACTTATAGACTTTACGTCACTTAATGATGTTCTCGAATAGTGTACTTCTTACGTTTTCCTGTGAATTGATAATGAAAACTAATATATAATCAACATCCAAAATAAACGTGTTATTAACATTATCCTACTTTTTTACAGTCTTCTCCCTTAGCTTCGCCGGTGTGGTTACCGTCGGACTGTACTACGTGCAGAACTCTACTCAAAATCTGGTTCTGTCCTGCATCTTTGAGGCGCTCACCTCCCTCGCCATCAGTTTGGTATTCTGCGTTTTGGTCGACTTGTTCCCTACGAATCTTAGGTATGATCTTTGTTTATATTTTACATCTGTAACATATACAATATGTCACACAAGTGTACAAACCAACCTATAAATTCGAATATCTACAGGCACGGCCTGGTTAAATAAGAGATAATGTAAATAAATGATAATAATGTTGCGGGAGTTCCCAAGACTGCGCGAGAATTCTTCGGAAGCGCGCGACCTGTTTTTAGTTACAATCTCTTTGAAATTGAAATGTTAAGGACTTTTAATAACGAAATGATTCACGAGAAAAGTAAAATCCCTAGGTGAACATAGGTGAGCTACGAGAAGAACTAAACGCCCATAGTCGCTCTGGTAGACATATTTGAACTACGGGTATTAATAATTGCCCGTAGTCCACCGAGGTGAACCAGCCAGGTGGTCTATGGGCAAGAATCGTTTTTATGGCACGTATCTAGTTTGTACCTTACATCATCATCATCAAACCGTTTATACCTCCTTATACATACTGTTGAGCGCGGGTCTCCTCTCAGGCGAGTGTTTAGGCTATAGGTTGGGAACTACACACGTTTTCCGAGGGTTGTGTACTGTAACCTGGGGGGGACTCTAATGCGTAGCGAGAGGTACTTCTAAGAATATAAACTGGGATTAACTTCAAAGATTTGGTTTATTTCTAAATTTTTTCACATGGTTTATACTTTCAGTCTAGGATATAATATGTCAAGATCTTCTGTTTTCTTATTTCAATTCTTCAAAAGCATTCTACTTACAAAAACTATATTCACTAGCTATATTCAGCCAGCAATTCTACTCATAGAGTAGAGCCTAGAATACAGTACCTTCTTCAACATGCAGGTTTCATCAAAATGTTTTCCTTCACCGAAAAGCTCATGGTAAATTTCAAATTAAATTTCGCACATAAATTCAGAAAAACTCAGAGGTGCGACCCCGGTTTCAAACCCACGACCTCTGCTTGAGAGGCATTACGTATAATCATTAGGCTACCACGACACGTGAAGTTCATTATGCTATGGCTACGAAAACGCGCTTCCATGCCGTGGCAATGTAAATAGTGCCTACGACCAATGCGGGTTGAGAACTTCGCGTCTTCATTATTCAAATACCTCAATGACTTGAAATGTGTACAACAGGGTAATGGCTGCGGCGCTGTCCCTAACGGCGGGCCGAGGCGGCGGTCTCATCGGCAACCTGTCCTTTGGTTACCTCATTGACATCAACTGCATAGTGCCCATCGTTGTATTCTCATCATTCCTTTTCAGTAAGTATTACATAGATAAGTTTAATTTTTTTCCAAAAAACTACGTTATTTTATTGAACATCATTACGTTATAATTATTAAATAAATATCGAACACTTGGAAAAAAATCACTTACATCCGGATAGATCTGAACCAATCGTGCCCTTCTAGCAAAAACTTTCATAGATTTCTCATAGATGGCACTACGGCAAAAGAAAGATTCGTGGGATCCGTTAGTTCGTTCCGTGGCTCAGTTGGCATAGCGTCTGTCACTGTTTGCTAGGAGGCGTTGGTTCGAATCTAGCCGGATCGTAGTGGATTTTTCCTAAGTGTTCGATCTTTGTTTAATAATGATAACAAACTAATGAAGTAATTTCACAAAAAATAATTAAATATCATGGTGGTTAAACATGCTCAAATTGAATAAAACTTAATTATCATATTTTTATTATTTGTGAAAATACTCCACTAGTGTCTTATTATTATTGACACAATTCTGTAGCTTAGTTGGTAAGAGTAGTGGCCCCGGTATGGCAACTGACACTGGTTCGAGTCCAGTCAGATCGAAGGATTTCTTTTTGTGTTGTTCGATCTTTGAATCAATAATAAAAAATTACGTTGTCAAAAAGTCTGTGATTTAATAGGAAATGAAACTATTTTTCCGGATTTAAATCGCGTATATTTGTTTTTTCAAACAAAACCGACGTTTCGGGCCCTTTACAGGTCCCATGGTCACGACTGAGGTGGTACAGTCTTCAACCAGTTATGTCTAATATTAATGCAAACCACCCTATTTTTTCACTATAGCTACAATAGTTATTAATTCAATGCCTTATTTTTAATTTTACAAAGAAAACATTCCAATTTACGCTACATTAAGTTTTACAAATTATTTTATTGAATGAATTTTTATTAAGTTTAATTTATTATTAATTATTAATAGAAATTAGAATAAACTAAAACATATTAATTAGTAATATGGATATAGATTTAGATTTAAATCCAGATAAATAGTTTCATTTCCTATGTGTAACAATCGCGAAAACCTAAGAACTCGATCTGTGATTTAAGATTAGTTTCAGGACCCCCTTGTACGCCACTGTTTTCTGTCTATAGTTCTACAACTCGCCAAGTTGTACGTGTATAAAAAAACCCTGTTTTAAATGGTCTGTCGATGCCGTACTTTCTAAAACTCGTATTTTATAAAGAGTGATTATTCGGGAGAAGGCAAAACTTTCTACTTATTTTAAATTTCTTATCAAGAATATTAATTTGGATTATTTAAGAGTAGGTAAAAGCCAGTGTGTGAATATGAAGGAAATGTGATGTGACATCAGCCTGCAAAATTTGTATATACAATTTGTAAGTCAATGTATACAATCCATTTTATTATTTCAGTAACTTTGTGCTTTAAAATAAGAGATTGAGGAAGTACGGCGACGCCATGTTAAGTAAAGGATAAAATCTAATGCACCAAAAACAATACTACTTCATTTATGAAAATTTTGCACAAGAATCTTAAAAATAGTTTTTAATAATTTTAATAATCTCGTATTAGCAGTAAGACGTCTTCCTTAATTGATCATTTAAAATAATCTGTATTTAGGCTGTGTAAGTAACGACTTTGCTAATAATTTGTATTATTTCCATTTCAGTGGCCGCATTCCTCTGCTTCTTCTTGCCAAAGACAGGTCAAGAAGCCCTAGAATAGTACTCAGTGAATATTAGTACAATTTAGACTGCGAACCATAGAGATCACAAATTTGAAGTGTTTGTACATATCATTTAGAATGTAAATATAATTGAGGATTAAGTACTTATTTATTGTTCAAGTTTCCTAGTATGTACGCATTAGGTTCAACGCAGAGGACGTACAATCGATTGATATACTTTTTGGAAATGATATTGTAACTGTGACAATATACATGATACGTAAAAATACGTGTTGTAAAGAAATAGTGAATATACAGGAAATAGTAAGCGCCAAAAAGTGTGCCGCAGTTACGTCGTCGGCGTTAGCATGAAGTTGTGGATATTATTATGTCTACTTTTACGTCAGAAAAACAGTGTTATCAAGTACTGTGATGCAGTATAAATAATATCATAAGTATGTGATCAAATAACAGTATTTTAGTGTTGACTGTGTAATATAATGCCTTAAATTATTAATTAAAGGCTTTGTGCCTTGTAAAATAAATTTAGTTTTATTTCAATTGTGATGTTTTAATCAACTACACTATTTTTCCCTATTAAAAAAAAAACATAGTCTGATTTTAATTATAGAAATAATGACGTTTAGGGGGTTGCCAGTTTTTGATGAATTAAAAATAGGGTTGTCTGTCACTAACACACTCAGTAGGTTATCAACATTGACTTACAAATAAATGGACGACGGGTCTAATACAAAAACCACGAAAAAAATGTCCGAAGTCAACCTATTCGAAATTTAAATTGTAATGTCATCGCAGTATCGCGCTGTCAGTCGAACAAATGAAGACTAAAGCGGAGTTTGGCGCTCTGTATACGATTTTAGCGCCTTACAAGTGCGGACACTTTTTAGCGCGGACCCGACGTCCGTATAATTGTAAGTCAATGGTTATCAACGTAAATTGTACTGTACATAGGTATATTAATTTGAAATATAGTAATAGTTATTGTATTGTACTTATTAATTTTCAATAATCAATTTGATAACAGAAAAGTGATAGAAGTATATATATAATGATCCAATGTAAAACAAATGTGCGAAGATTAAGAGCAAACAATTTTTAACGTTTATTTTTGTTCTTCAATAAACACGGCAACATTATTTTTCAAAACGACATTAGTACCTGTCAGCTTGTTATCTCTAATTAAAAATCCGACCAAAATGATATAAAATCATGGTGTTAGAAGGTAATGATAACCTAATTAGAAAACTGACACTGGCGATGATCGCCCTAATTTTTATATTATTCTTATAAAACTGACACTGGCACAAGTCTAGTGGCCTCCATAAAGGAAATAATAATAAAAATCCCACAATAAGTTATATTTAGACACGAAATAAATCAAAGTGTCTCCCAAGACTCGGTAAACAATTCTTCGAGAGAAGCTAGAAAGTTAATAAGTAATATTTAGACGAACCTTAAACAAAAAAATACAACCTTTTTCATTTAAAAAAATTATTATGTATTTATATTCTCATAGATGGCGCTACGACTAAAAAGTCGTTGAAAAGCCAAGTACAAAGACACGACGCAAGCACATAGAGAAATTCGTGAGGTCCGTTGGTTCGTTCCGTTGCTTAGTTGGTATAGCGTCTGGCACGATATGCAAGAAGACGTCGGTTCGAATCCGACCGGATCGAAGGATTTTTTTCTGAGTGTTTTTTCTGAGTGTTCGATCTTTGTATTAATAATTATAACAAACTAGTGGAGTAATTTCACAAAAAATAATTGAATATCAATTCAATAAAAATTTAATTAATTATTATGTACTTTTCAATTTCAATAATCATTATATCACATTTTGCACCGGCTAAATGGCATATTAACCACTTAGGTGCCACGTCTATTCTTTTTTTAACTCTATTTTGTCATAATAATAGAAGTAAATTAATTTGCTACTCTACGAACCCAGTGAACGTTAAATCGTGCAAAATAGCTGCGCTTGTGTTGAATATTTTTTCATTTTCATTGATTCATTTAATTATCCCGCCCTCCCTACGCATAAAATTAATAAAATAAATAAGACCAGCGTAACTACAGTCACAAACCACCACCAAAAATACACCCGACACTCGTCTTCGTGAAACCGCTTCGTGATCATTACATCCGTTTGGGAGCTACGATGCCACAGTGTATACAGAGACACATAAGTGCACTGACAAAGGTTTCAAACTCCTCTTTTTCCATCAGAGGTTAATAAAATGTATAAAAAGTGTTCAATCGTAGTGCCGTACAAAACGGCCATGCAAAATTGTCATAGCCATGTGAAAGTCCAATTTTTTTTCCAATTTCGTGTACTGAGATTCTGCTACACCCAGAGATGGACAAGGGCAGGGGTGTTAACTCGGAGCTATGTTAACGCTGGATTAAAACCCATTAACGCCGAAAATCGAGGGTAAAAACTATTCACAACTAAATATGTGTTGTAAATCAAGTTTTGTACAAATTGAATGATATTAAAAATTAAATATTAGTTTATACAAAAATTTATTGTTTTCTGATCAAGACCGTTCGAGTTGCCTTTATATTGAATCAATGCGATGAAAATCGCATTGAAATAAACCGATACAAAAAATCGTTAGGTCGTATAAACTCGAATCGATTTTCATAAAAAACGAACCGTAATGTGTCCTTAATAGTCGAGAATCCACAGGATTGCAAGATGGGTATTGTGGAGTTGCCTCTTTTACGTCCAAAAAAAAAAATTTACATTGAAATTTGTTATAGGTAAATATGGAATTATACCAAATTCCGTATTCGCCGTTTCTGTCCACGATTTTGGCCAGAAATGGATTACAGTTTGGGTAAAAACCCGGTTAAAGCCTGGGCGAGTTGATTGGGTTGTAACCCACTGCCCATCTCTGGCTACACCCGTTATCAAATTTACTTCCACTATCAAAAACAACATGTAAGAAATACATATTCTCGTAATAAAACAATAAACTACAAAATTATAAACATTACTTCTTATAGTTTATTAGAAATAAAAATAGATTACAGTATGTTATAGTTATGTTATAGCTATAGCAACGAATTTACAATCAATACAACATAAAATCTTGATTACAATTTAGTTTTATTATATATATTTTAGTTTTAACAGTGACGTTTTATACCCTTTGTGTATGTTAAAAATCTTTAATTTCGACTTATTTACACAATTAAATTATCACAATAAAATATTCATATTGCAAAGTGCACATCTTCAAAAAAAGAGAATATTTTCCTTTTAAATCAAAAAAACATGACGGCATTTACAAACAAATAAATTCAATTATAATGAGTTGGCCAAAAAGTCCATGCGGTTTTTACTAGCGAACTTTAAACAAAAAAGAACCTTTTATTAAATGTCATATTGTCCATGGTCGTTCCAAAAATTTTAGCGCTCATTTTAAATATAGGCGGGAAAGTTTTAATTTCGTAATTCATAAAAAATACCCAGAATTACCAAAAACAAAGTAATCGACATTTCTAGAGAAATTGAGTTATTGACAAATCTAGAATCAGCGAAACGAGGTCGTATTCCAGAACTCTACTCAATGCTGAAGTCAGTACTTGAGTATGATTTCAAGCACTGGATACGACCCTAATGGCAAGGACTTGAGTATGATTTCTAGTGCTTTAAATCATACTCAAGTCCTGACTTCAGCATTGCGTAGAGTTCTGGAATACGACCCTACAACCCCCTCTAAGCAGTTACTTTTTATATATTATTAAGTTCCAGTTTTGTTGTTAAGCAAAATCAGCGCAATTGACAGTTCTTCAAGAAAAAACCTTGCAAATGTGTTGTTTATGACAAGAAGCGCAATATAGGTATCTCATCGTGATATTTCATCATTACAAAGCCAAACTAAATTCATATTTATAGTAAAAAAAACAATTGCACTAAGATTGGGATGTGTCACTTCATCCACCGAATTCGGCTGACATAGTCCCTTCAGATTTTCACTTGTTTCAGTTTGTACAGTATTCTTTGAGTGGATTCAACTTTCACAAACCTCACTAAGAGTCGTATTCTAGAATTCTACTCAATGCTCAAGTCAGGATTGCACTGGAAACACAAGCACTGGAAATACGACCCTAATGGCAGGGACTTGAGTATGATTTCGAGTGCTTTAAACCATACTCAAATCCTGACTTGAGCATTGAGTAGAGTTCTAGAATACGACCCTAAGAGCACTAATTTTAAGTAAAATTGAAAAAGAAATTCTAAAATTAACAGAACGATTGCAAAAGATCAATATGACCAATACATAATTGATTAAAGTTTGATATAACTTTTTGTTCATGTTTTGATACCGTACGGACTATTTAGTCCACTCAATACATATTCAATACATATTCAATTAATATTCCAATATTCCAGATAAAAATCAAATTAACGAAATAGAAAAAAATCCCATTCAACAAGCAAATTAAAGGGGTGTCTACAAAATCCTGAATCGTTGTGACAAAATACGTACTGAACGCATTTAACCACACATAAAGTGCAAAATTGTATAAAGGTGGCTAAGAACAGTCGATCACAAAGCTTAGCTGTGTTCGTGTCTCTTATGTGCATAGTTTCAGCGGGACGTCTGTGCGGGGTTCGGTACTTGTGGAAGGCCGAACTCATCGACTGGGACGCCATCTTTGTTCCGAACGCTGTCAGCGCCTGGCTCCTTGTCGGGGGCAGCGGGGGCTTTCACCACATCGTCCAGATACGAGGTGTCGTCATCCAGAGCTATTTCATCACCTGAAATCAATTGTTTTCATTTATGCCACTAGAACTGACTACCACATGGAACATCTGTGTGTTGTTGTCCTCTAATTAAAAATGCAGGCTTTTATACAAAATAACAAATTGCATATTTTTAAGGTCTTGCAAAATATCGTAGGAAATGCAAACTGACCTATAAATTAGTTATAATTATATCACTAGAAATACAATAAGAAATGCTAAGTTTGCTTTAATATTTCGTGACATACAGTAGAAACTGCACACTAACTAACCAATCAAATGGTTTTAATATCTTACAAAAAATATAGGTAAATGCAAACTGACCTATAATACAGTTATACATTACGAGAACTGCGATAGGAAATGCAAAATGCTCTACCTCATGGCGTTAATCTTAGTGATTTTACCGAAAATCATCATCCATGAATAGATATCAAGGTATCTACATATAGGCATATTACCTACAAGAAGCGCTTTGCTTCTTCCTCCGTATGGAATACGACAAAAGAATGCGTTACACTACGAGCATGTGTTTCCCAAAAAAGTACATTTTTATTTAATAACACCGCATTCTACCTCCATCTCATCGGATGAAAAGTGACAATGAGGTCGACGATTGAATGCACTCCTAAATAATGCTTATTCACTCTCGAGTTGAAAATATTTATGTAATAGCATACCAAATCATCATTTTTTTTAAAGCACACACTCAACATACCCCCGCACTAGGGAAACCCTGTGTCGCGGGTGCCA